ACCAACTGGCTATGTTTCATCTGGTATAATGCAGTCTTGTAGAGAGTAACTCAGACATTAGACATTCTTTTGAAACAAATAAATACATAATTGTTCATGAGCACTTTTGCCTATAGCTTCAGAGCAACAGATATTTATAATACGGCCTGATCTTCAGCTAATGCACAGCATGATAGCATAATGGTTAGCTTCTGTACTAATTGGTCAATGCCTGTGCTTTGCAGGTTATTAAATATTTTGACAGCAACCCCTTCTCGAATGATGACTCTGAGACTCTACGAGAACTTTAAATAACTTTAGAAACATCATGGAAAGATTAATGTGTTCTCAGGGGAATGTTTGAGTTGTATATGTAATTCCAAATCTTTGAAACCTGGAAACTGGGCATCAGTAAGTCCTTTCTGAGTCATCCTAACCCCTACCTTTCTGTCACACTCCACTTCCAATTTATCAATAAATTTTACTGGCTCTACCTTTTAAAAAGTTTCAGATTTCCCCCTTCTCACTGCATATACTCTGTTGCCAAGTCATATCACCTCTATCCTGAATGGGTGTAATAACCTTTTATTGGTCTCCCTGCTTCCAGACTTGCCTCCGGCAGTGTGTTCTCCAAACAGAAGCCAGCGTGATTCTTTAAAAAAAAAAAAAAGTCTAGACGATATTTAAAAGCCACAAAGGTTCTGCGTAAGCTGGTCTTCTGCCTTTCTGCCCCATCTCTGTCTCAGTCTCTACCCTTCTTTCCCGCTCTAGCCACCTTGTCCTCCAGGCTCACTCCAGCCTTGCATATTCCCTACTCACTGGAACATGAGCTCCCTATAGGCAGGAAGGTTTTCAGTTTGATTCTCTCCTGTATCTTCAGCCCCAAGAAATATACCTGGTGCAGAGTAGTTGCTCAATAAATAGTAATTGGATGAATGAATCCTTGCACAGTATTTCCAATCATTCCTTTTGAATAAACTCTGTGTTTAGAGATAGGAAGCTAAGTGTGTTCTTAAATTTCTGTTTGTTCTTCTGATCTAATGGTATTCTTCTATAGGAAACATATTGTAACAAAAGCAATATAAATCCTTTTGATTCTGTCCTTTAAAAAGCTTATAATTAAAAGCAGACAACACTGACAAAAGATACCAACAAAATATTAAGCAAAATTAAGCCCATCGAGTAGTAAATTATTAAAAAGAAGCAAGATCAATATGAAAAAGAAACCATTTAATTTTACTGGAGGATGTACAAACAAATCTCATCTAAATGGAAAGAAACATCATATTATTATGTATAAAAAATTTATATCATCCTTTCAGATAAATATATATTTTAATGAAACTCCAACCAGATTTCCAACAGGAACTTTGCTTATTTTGTTGGTTGACTGCTTTGTTTGAACCTCTCCTTTCCTCATGACCCAACCTAAAGTGTCGCTCTCAAATGGGTCACTCTACATCTCCTTGTTTTACTTTGTTAGAACACTGTCTTATTTCAAGCTTTATTCAAATATAATTGGCACACAACATTGTATAAGTGTAAGGTTCATAACTTAGTGATTACCACAATAAGCTTAGTTAACACATCCATCACTTGACATAGTTACAATTTTTCGTTGGTTTGTTTTGGTGTGGTGAGCACTTTTAAAATCTGTTCTCTTGGCATCTTTCAGCTATACCATGCAGTATTGTTCATTATAGTCACTGTGCTGTACGTTACATTCCCAGAACTTATTCATCTTATAACTGGGAGTTTGTACCGTTAGACTACTTTCACCCATTTTCCTGTGCCCCTGCCACCAACCACCAGTCTGTTCCCTGCTTCTATGAATTTGGATTTTTTTTTTAGATTCCACATGTAAATGAGATCATACAGTATTTGTCTTTCTCTGTCTGACTTACTTCACTTAACATACATAATGCCCTCAAGGTCTGTCCATGTTGCTGCAAATGGCAGAGTTTTCTTTTTTATGGCTGAATAATATTCTGTTATATGTATACACTATATTTTCTTTATCCATTCATCCATCTTAGGTTGTTTCCATATCTTGGCTATTGTAAATAATGCTGCAGTGAACTTAGGGGTGTAGGAATGTATTCGAGATAATGATTTCATTTCCTTCAGATATATACCCAGAAATGAAATTACTGGAGAATATGGCAGTTCTATTTTAAATTTTTTGAGGAACCTCTATACTATTTTCCATAGTGGCTGCACCAGTTTACATTTCCACCAAAAGTGTAGAAGGATTCCCTTTTCTCTACATCCTAGTCAGCACTTATCTCTTGTCTTCTTGATAGAAGTCATTTAAACAGGAGTGAGGTGACATCTCATAATGGTTTTGATTTGCATTTTCTTGATGATTGATTAGTGATGTTGATTTGCTAGGTAGTTGTTGGCCATTTGAATATCTTCCTTGGAAAAAAATGTCTGTTCAGGTCCTTTGCCCATTTTTAATTGGATTATTTGGAGAGTTTTTTGACTATTGAGTTATATGAGTTCTTTATATATTTTTGATATAAACCTCTTATCACATATGAGGTTTGCAGATATTTTCTCCCATTCTGCAGGTTGCCTTTTCATTTTGTTGATTGTTTCTTTTGCTGTACAGAAGCTTTTTAGTTTCGTGAAGTCCCCCTTGTTTATTTTTGCTTTGTGTATCATATCCATAAAATCACTGGTAAGTTTCCCTGTTTTCTTCTATGGTTTCAGTTCTTACACTTAATCCTTTAATCCTTTTTCATTTAATTTTTATGAGTGGTGCAAGATAGGTGTCCAGTTTCTTTTTTTTTTCATGTGCATATCTTGTTTCCCCAACACCATTTATTAAAGAAACTGTCTCTTCTCCATTGAGTATTTGGCTCCTTGTCAAATACTAGTTGACTTTATACGCATGAGTTTATTTCTGGGCTCTAGTCTGTTCTATTAGTCTATTGTCTGTGTTTATGCCAGTACCATGCTGTTTTGATTATTATAGCTTTTGTAATACAGTTTGAAATCAAAAAGTGTAATTCTTCCAGTTTTGTTCTTTTTTTCTCAAGATTGTTTTGACTAGTCAGGGTCTTTTCTGGTTCCATAAGAATTTTAGGGTGGTTTTTTCGATTTCTGTAAAAAAAAAAAAAAAAAAAGCCACTGGAATCTTGATAGGGATCACATTAAATCTATAAATGACTCTGGGTAGTATGAACATTTTGTCAATAATAATTCTTTCAATTATGAGCAGGAAACATCTCTATTTGTGTCTTCTTTAGTTTCTTTTATCAATGTCTCATAGTTTTCAGTGTACAGATCTTTCACCTCCATGGTTAAGTTTATTCCTAGGTATCTTACTGTTTTTGGTGCTATTGGAAATGGGATTGTTTTCTTTATTTCTTTCTTGGATAATTTGTTATCCATATATGGAAACACAACTGATTTTTGTATGTTGATTTTGTGTTCTGAATTTCCTTATTAGTACTTTTTTTATTTTTGGTGGAGTCTTTAAGATTTGATATATATATAATCCTGTCATCTGCAAACAGACTGTTTTACTTCTCTTCCATTTTGGATGCCTTTTCTTTCTTTCTCTCTTCTTTTCTTTTCCCTTTCTTTCCTTGCCTAATTTCTCTGGCTTACACTTCCAGTGCTATGTTGTATAGGACAGGTGAGAGTGGCCCCTTTGTCTTGTTCCTGATTTTAGAGGGAAAGCTTTCTCTTTTTCACCATGAAGTATATTAGCTATGGGCTTTATTGTGTTGAAGTACCTTCCTTTTCTATGCAATTCGTTGAGTGTTTTTATCGTGAATGGATGTTGAATTTTGTCAGAATCTTTTTCTGCGTTGATTGAGATGATCATGTAACTTTTATCTTTCATTCTATTAATATATCATATTTTTTGACTTCGATATGTTGAATCATTCTTATGTCCCAGGATGCATACTATAAAAGAGACATTATATTTTCATTACTGTGGGAAAATGAAAAGTAACCTGTTGGCATCTATTTAAATGTAAAATATGCATACCATTTGCCAAGTAGTTCTATATTCAGGTATCTATCCAACAGAAATGAGAGCATCAGTGTAAAGAGATAGATGTGGAAGGATATTTATTACAGCATTGTTTTTAAGGTGAAAGGAACTGGAAGCTACCTAAGTTTTCATTAGATTGAGAATGGCCAAATAACTTACAGTACTTCTATCCTATGGAATGTCAATAGAATTTTAAAACAATTGTTACGTCTGTTTTCCTGATTTGAAGGACTATCTACTATATATCATTACATGACTAAAAAATTTTCAGAGAATGTTTATTGTACGATCTGTTTTAAAAAATTAAAATGGTGTACATATTCGTATATATGGTTAGGTTTGTGTTTATTAACATAAGAAATATGTGGAAAGAGACATACCAGTCCATTAATAATCACTATATCATCAGGAGTGAAAAATGGGAACAGGAGAGATTATCAACATCTATTCAATGCTGCTTTTTTGTTTAACTTGGTAAAACAAATGTTACATTTTAATTTAAAAGATAATAAAGGTTGTTCAATGATAAATGTAAATATACATTAAAGGACATTGCTAGTTTGGCTTTGAGCATATGTAAATACCATATAGTATACGAAACGAAAGCCAGCATTACCGTATTTGGTTAGAGATGTCTTCATAAAGAATACAGCAGTTCTCACTTGACCAATGTGTCAGTATTCTCCTATAAATCGGCTTACATTTTGGAAGTTTGGAGTTTGTGTTTCTTTTTTTGACTCAATTAAAATTTAGTTATTGTAAGAGATAATCCTCAGGAAACCAGATTATGAAACAAATCACAATAGAAAATAACGCTTCATTGTTTAAAATGTTAAGATCTTCTTATTTCACTCTTTGTAACTGCTCGATCTAAAGATGGTCACCTACTTTGGCTAGCATAATATGGCTAAATCGAACGCTATCTTTTTAAAAGTCGATTTTTTAAAACATGCTTGCAATATGTATATTCGAAACAAAGATTGTTTATCATTTTTCTTTTTTATTTCAGAACGCTTTACCCTGTACAGCTCTAAAAACCTTAGACAAGCATGGAATAAGTAAGTCTTTGTACAGATTGTGCTCGTTTTCTCTCTCTCTCTCTTAATTTTTAAAACTCTCCTGATAAGTTGTCATGACATTTTTTCATTTTTTCATTAAATTATTCATTCATCCATATATTTAACCATTAACTAGTTATTAAGCCTTAACTGCGTGCCAGCCACAATCTTCAGCCTCAGCCAACACTGTGCATGAGTTTGGGTTCCTAGGGTAATGTGGCATTGCCTCAGAGTTGTAAATCCTAAAATTTATTGTGGTCAATCTTCTTGTAACTAATTTCAAGAAACATTTTGGCATCAGCAAAATAGCATTTGTTAAGTACAGTAAAATGATTGACTTTCTAATCTAAATAAAGTTGGTGCCAACCTTTGAGCTAAATAAAATTGATCTTTCAAATTTTTTCAGTTTATCTATTTTTCCCCTAAGCCTTATTGAGAAACTAAATACACACATCACTTGATGTATATGTACTCCATTTATTTAATTTCTATTCTCTTATCTGACCCGTTGAAATAGTTTTATTTTATTGGTTTTGATATTTGTTGACATCTGTATATCTGAGTTTCTCAAGTTATTTAGAGGTCTTTTATTGCAAGCCAACCTGTTAGTAAATCATTGAAAGTTGAAAAGTAGAGTAATTGAGTCACTCATTTCATTGTGAGTATCACGTTTCAAGCGTTATGCTGGGAAAACGTATCTAGAACTGCTTTGATAAAATAAACTATAATTTGTCATAACAAAAATTTAAGGGGAATTTAGTGTTATTGTCTCACTTTTTACTGTTATAACACTTTAATTTTAGATACCATCAGTTACGAAAATAAAAAATAAAACCTTTTTATAATAAATACTTTTAATTAATGCTGTCAGTAGATACAGTAGACAGCTTATTGTGAGGAATTCATGGAATAAATACATTAAATTCCTCAGTCGTTTATTTGAAAGATTTGGCAATTTATTTTGATTACATTTATACTTAGAAGAACATTCCGGTATAATTATTTTTGTCTAACACAAGGCTTTGCATTTGCCATTTGAAGTCTGTTCTTAACATCTAGAGTCTCCCTAATACCTAGGAAGGCATGTCCTCTGTGTTTCTCACCATTTGACCTCCCCGCCGCCCCCCCTGCGAAACACACACATACTTATTTTACTGACCAGTGGTCTAACATATTTTAATTAAGTGCTTTCATTGGCCTGGTATTATATAAGGTATATAGTTCCTACCTTAATGAAATGATCAAACACATTCCTCTCTCATAATTGCTCAAAAAAATCTTTTACATTCAGTCTGAAATACTGAAGGAAGTATTACATTTTCATGTAAAGGTTTTTAATTAGTTGATAGAATTATAGTTAATGATTTTCTTTTAATCTCTGCCATCACATTTAGTTTTAAAAAAAAAAATAGAAGTAACTCAAAGTTATTTTTCAACCAGGTAACCACTTTATGAAACAATTCTTGATAAAGCACTCGAATCTCTAACTTTATATCTGAATAGGAAAATCTGGCAAATCTATATATAGCATTTGTAGAGAATAGCCTCCAATTTAAATAACTCTCCATTTCCTTCCTTCAGAGAGACAGAGCTAGAATGGCCTCCAAATTGCTCAGGAAAATATATGGCAGCCCTTATCCCTTTAAAATTGTCTACAAAAAATGAGGGGAAGTTTGTGGACAGTGCTGCGATATTTCTTCCAACTGTCCTCTTGTGGATATGACCCTTCACCATTTACACCTGGCCCCCTCCATTCATTCGTTTTTGCGACTTGTATTTAGCCATCATAGTCACTCTAACATATACGCCCCAACAAATGGCCTTTCTTGTTCAACCATTCCATAGTGACTCGTGGGATGCCTCTCAGAGAAGATATTTAGTTACATTACTTTATCCCAGGAGAAACTAGATAAATTCATATCTTCCAAAAAGAAAAAGAAAATTGAAGTAGTATTCAGGTTTGCATTGTTTCTCTTCAGTCTGACCACTTACAATCTGATGCTTTCCTTTCTCTGAGAGGTTATCGTTTATGTCAACAACAAAAGTAGGTTCACTGAGAAAATTCAGGATATGCATCCTCTGATAGTGCTGCTTTAGAAATTTTAAAAACTATGTACATTGTTCTCAATCTCTAAATTTTTCTTAAAAGATGCTAAATGTCAATAAGTGTGCTTTTACTTTTGAAGACAGATAAGAATTTTTCAGAATATTATTTTTTACAAAATAAGAACACAGTTTCTCTTTAAAATATCGCTTTAGAGATATTTGATTTGTTATTTGCATTTTCCATAAACATAGGATTTGTAATTTTTCTACCAAAAACAAGGTCTAAAATACTGAAGGAAGTATTGCATTTTCATATAAAGTTTTTTTAATTAGTTGATAGAATTGTAGTTTATGATTTTTTTTAAATCTCTACCATTGCATTTGCTTTTTTTAAAAAAAAATTAGAAGTAATTCACAGTTATTGAATAAACTGAATCCCAACCTTAGATGACATTTAAAACATTTTAGGTATAATATTAAAAGCTGAGCTTGAGGTAAACTTTTAAAATTAGAAGCATGACTTGTTTAGAACCATGCTATTTTTAAGTCCCCTGTAAGTCTTGTTTTTGTTGCCCTAAGGATTTATTTCAGAAAACACTAAATAATAAAGTGATCACTAAAAGTATTATAAAAATACTTCTGGTATCCCAGTGTTATGTATTGAATCCTTAGAGCCAAGCTATAGCCTCTAGCCAATTCAAACCCAATACAATTCAGAGAGAACTGAGAATTCAGAGACATTAATTATGTTATTGATTCTTCCGCCAAATGGACTTGTGACCTGGCAACTGTCATTGACATTTCAACATTTCTCACTTCAGAGTGAGGTCTAGATTTGGAAGAACTGCAATTAAACAATATTAAGCAAGTGCCAGCTTTCTCCATCGCTGCTAACTAATTTGCTTGTCTACAGCACAATTACAAAACTGAAGCAATTGGTAAATTCTCTTGTACAGCAGTAATAGGTTCAAAATAGAGAGAACTCATTTACAAGAACTAATTTGAATTCAGTTTAGATGGGTTAATAAAAAATGGGTAGGTTAATATAAAGAAGTAAGTCACTGTTCAAAATTAAGTAATAATGTCTTTAAAAATATATATTAACTCAGCTATTAAAACTAGTGGATATGTTAACCTGTCTGAGAGAGTAAGAATTTCTTGAGAAATGAATCCTCAAGTCTCTTTGAACGGCTATAACGTCTGACCCAGATTATTTGGGGGCCAAGTCTGCCCTAGGTAACACCCATGCAGTTCCCTGCTGACTTCATTTATATAGTAACCGTGGGCATAATTTTACTCTTTGAAGGATATTTTTAGTATTCTGGGCAAACAAAGCACTGATGGGAGAAAAATATCAAAAGATCTAGCAGATATCTCAACTCAAAGGGATAATATAAAGGAGAAATCTTAATTATGGGATTGAGAATAATGAATATATATTAGTAAAGAAAAGAAAGTTGTTTTATTCCCTTATATTGGAAGTATATGTATGATCAGGGTGGGCTCTTCCTGCTCAAAGGGGATTTTGGACTACAGGGATACAAATCTTAACTTTATAAATACATGTACTGTTTTCTGACTGCCTTCAAAACATTCCATTTTATTTCATTGGAGTTATAAAGACTCTCCCTATTTTTCTTCCACATCGCTCTATTTATAGTTGTCTGACATTGGCATGTGTGTGCAATCAACCAAGAATTTCAGCCACTTAAAAGATCTTTTATTATTTTGGCTGGAGAAGAAGCCTTAGTATGTATTCTCCAGCAAAGTTAAGGGTAGGATTCCAGGAACACATTTGCTTGTTTTGGAACTTTTTAACAGCTGAACAGTTTTGGAGGTTTGAAAGTAACAAAAAAAAAAAAAAAAAAAAAAAAACATGAGGATAAACCACCAGCATCACAGAA